ATGTCTAATTTGAACCTGGTCATAAAGAAATAAATCTACTTGAGAGATACTTTCAAAGCAAATGTCCAAATTCTTCTAAACTGCTGTTATCATAAAAGACCAACAGTAAGCAAATAAGTCCTCTAAACCTAAAACAAGCAAAGTTGGAAAGAATAGATGAGAAAGAGCTGGTGATTGTGTGATCCCTATTGGGGTCTGGATTCTAAAACTACAAATCTATAAAGGACATTACTGAGACATTTTCAGAAGTCTGATGCGAGAATATCTTCATTCTTAGATTATGAAGTTTCAAGAGAGAACAGTAGAGACACAATTTTTTCTTATACAGTTAAAAACTGTGTATGTAATGTGTTATAAATCTAGCTGGATGGTTCATTGTTGTTATAAACTTTTAGTAAGTTTAAAATTCTTCAAAGTAAAAGTTAAAACAAAACAAACAAAAATCTCCAGCTCACTTTGAAACCCAATTTTGCTCTTTCATATGAGGTTCTTACATTTCAGCAGTTTCTGCACAAGAGAACTGATCTAGTCTAAAGGTTTCCTCATCAAGGACTGGCTCAGCATTATGCCTGTTTCCAAATCTAGACCAATAAAACTGGAAGAAAGCTTTGTTAAGCGGTTTCCTTTCTATTTTCATTTCTGGAAGACTTTCTAGGTGCATTACTTTTGCATGAATGTATCTATGTGTGAGGCCTGATAATTTTGGAAGCTTTTAGATGGTAAAAACAAGAACTTTTGGCTAAATCAGCCCTGAAACAATTCTGTTTCCTTTTTTTTTCCAGTTTTGGGGATCAGTCAACCACTTTACTTCGTGAGCAAAATGCATCATTGCATCTGACCCCTAAATTGAAGCTGCCTTCATATTCAAGTGCTGCACCCTTCACTAGGATAACCTTATAGCTCCATTCCAAACTGTAGCTGGCACCAGAATTTTCATGAAAGGTACAACCTTTGTTTGGCAACATATGTAGATTGGTCATGCAGAGATGAGAGTAAGACTTGCAGGTCAGGAGGATGGAAAGTAGCTTGAGTGACCACATAGAGGGATACACTGGTCAGGGTGTTCCAGAGAAACCAAAGCAATGGGCATGTATATATTTACGCACATAAAGATTTATTTTTAAAAACTGGCTTACATGGTTGTAAAAGCTTAAAAACTCTGAAGTCTGATGTCAGCTGGCAGGCTGAAGACTCAGGGAAACATTGCTGTTCAAGTCCAGTAGCAGTGGCTGGCAGGTTTCTTTTTGCTTAGGAGAGGTGAATCATGTTCTCTTCAGGCCTCCAATTTATTTGATGAAGACCACCCACATTATAGAGATTATAGAGAGCAATCTACTTCATTCACCTAATTAAATGCTAATCTCATCAAAAACCATTGCTTCCGTCCACGAAAAAGCATTTCAGAATAATGCTTAGCCAAATATACAGACATGGTGGCTCAGCCAGTCTGAGACAGACAACCATCAAAATGGAGAAACTGCCTAGTGTGAGCCATGAGCACACTTGATTTGCTTTAGAAGTTGGGCAGTGGATGAGGAGAGATGAAGTAGTGAACTCAATGCCTTCAAACTACTTTTGACATGGTGCTGTGCCATGCCATGCTGTTCTATTCCATTCCCATCCATCCCAGACTCTACACTTCAGATCTTGAAGTGAACTTGAAGCCTAGAACAAGGTGATTGGAAACTGAGATGATGCAAGCAGCTCTGCCTCTCTTGTCCTCATGGTTGTACTCTCAAAGTTCACAGAAATCTTCTGGAGGCTTTGATTTTTCATTGGCCATAGAATTAAAATCTAGATATCAATCATACAATGTGCATCTCAGGGATGAGAGGTCTGGTGGGTTATCTGTATTACAGAGCTACTCACCCTACCTTAAGCTTTCATAAGACTTTAACTAGTTTTGCTGCTGCCTATTCATTTATAGTTTAAACATATAGGAAGAGTATATTGACCTAATTACTCTAATAAGCTGTAACCTATTTTTGGTCAAGGATTTTTGCCTTTAAGTACACAATGTTTTATACCCTATACTAAATAGTATATTCTCTTCATAGAAAAGTAACTCAAATATGTACTTTATTTTATGCAAATAAAATTGCTATTAGTAACTACAATTATGAGTGGTTGAGCAGAATAGATTTCATGTACTTTCCTAACTATATCCTTATGTTTTAGGTATATCAAATATAACTTATATGCTCACTTAAAATAGTAAATATTGATACATATACAATATGTATATGTATTTGAACACCTTGGCTTACAAATACTTTTGTTTGCAAACAATTCCATTCACAAACAGAAGCATTTCAACAAAAACTTGCTTCATTTGTGAAGCCAATGATGAACACAGCCTTGGCCATCTTCCCCAAAATTGTGGAATGAGTTAAATTCATGAACTAAGGTACAACTGTAGAACAAAGGAGTCAACTCAAGTTCTCAAACGATGATTTGGATTCAAGCAGAACACATAACAAAGCAATGGCTCCAAATTTGCCATGAGAGATACAGTAGGTTTCATAGAATGAAGAATGATATTTACCCTCTGTGAACACATCCCCTCTACAGCCTGGTCTACGGTCAAGCATCAGATGGCAAAGGAGTCTAAGGCAATGGTAAGGCCAGCCTTGAGATGCTGAACTGATCTAGGACAGATGGAAAGTTCTGATGGGCCTGGACATCACAGCAGCTCGTGGCACAGACTTTTAGTGTCATGCAATGCTCTTCAAGATAACAGACTGTAATACCCACAGAAACTGCAACAACTGGAGGACGTGATGGCTGTACACTTATTCAAACAATTCTTGGGCTTTCTTGCTTTTAGTATGCTTACCTAAGTCTGATGTTGCTGATATCATCATGGCCTTATAAAAGTGGATCTCTCTCTTATGCACACAAATGCAGATTTAACACCATGAAAATACTAAAGAAGAGCAATCATGTAGAAGTTATTTCTGTATAAGGAAAATGTAACTATTCCTGAAATCCACATCCCTCAAGTGTAGGCTGTGCTGTTTGTGTTCATTGGTGACGGGAAGTGATGTAAATTATACTTACTACACTACTGGGAGAAATATATTAGATCCAGACAGCACATGGACAAAGCACAAGGACCACACTGTGTCGCCAGCAACCATGTGACTTTTGTGGGAAGACAATGCAGTATATACTGTGAAAACCCACACTGGCCATTTGGGGGCTAAGACAATTTTTTTTTAGAGAATATAATTTTGTTCTAGCGCTACATTTTCTTTTTAAAATAAAGCCCCAAGATATTTTAATCTTAAGCATATTCTATACTTATGGCTTTAACTGTTTCATGCTGTTGGTTCCGCATCATTAAATTGGAGAGAACAACAGAGTGAAACTAGCTGTGTTTAGGTTGGAGAGCACAGCTGGGACACAAACACTCTGAGGAAAGGCAAGGCTAAGGACATGAGCGAGTTATCTAGCTCCAGTATAATTCCAGCTACCACTGAAGCATCCAGGGATCACCTGCTAGAAGAAATATCAACAGATAAATTACCTGGAGAGAATGACAGCCTCATGGGATTTGTTCCTTGAGAGCTGTCTAATTGGCCTATTCGCTGACAAAGCCTCCTGGAGTGAATGGAAATGCAGATCAGGAGAAAACAAAGCTGGAGAGCTGGTTTGGCTGCTTGTGTGGCTTGAAGGGAACTTTCAGAAAATGGGGACAAACATGTAAAAACCTAATGTTCTTTGTCGTTTCATTACAAAGCCCTACCCAGAATGTCGTACCTGAGTGGGTTAGATCCAGCCCTCAGTATGTTACCAGACTTCACCAGAGTGGGAGAAGAAACAGCCCCTGGCTTAACTGAGTATTTCTATGACAGATCACAACTAAAAGCTTTACGATGATGCAGTGAAACTAGACTTCACGGTTTACTGCTTCAATTTTAAAGAAGTATCTAATCTTTTAGTGAGTAATTTCTTTTATAAGGCTGGTGATGTAATCACCCGCAGAGTCCCTAGGAGGCTTTCCCCTGAGAGGAAATGATCCTAAAACCCATCCACAGCGTCCACCCAGAACTGGGTATGGGAAGCCAAAGCGGCAGCCCTCAAGCTTCCTGATGGGAGCGGCAGGCTTCCCATGCGAGGGCAGCTCACAGGCTCTGCCCAGTTTGTTTAAATGCAGCAGAACAACATTGAGAAACTCAAGTGTTATTTTGGAAAGGGCTTTGAGTCAGTAGTAAAGTGGGCCAAAAATCTATTTCGGTCTTCTTTTTTTTTCTAAGTGTGCATGAAGGATAGATAGTATTTTGCTGTTTTTGTATTTATTTGTACATACATAATCAAAGATACCTGTTGAACACTTTTATGACAGTGTTATTCATTCCTCTGCTTTCCATCCTCTCCATTCCTTGGACACATACCCTTTTGGTGGCTAAGGACACTAGCCCTGGAGCCAGACTGCCTGGGAAAGTTGCCTGAAGTCAAAAGCCTCCCTTTTTCATCTGTAAAATCAGGACATGGACAGAATGTAACTCATAATTTTAGTAATGAATAAAGGGAACAAATACAATGCTGAGGACATTGCCTAGCTGTATTTACTATCATTCTTTTTGTAGAATAGACTTTTCTAGATCGTCACCTGGGACATAATATAGTAAAAAACAGACTTTTTCAAGAGCTTATTTTAGCAACTGTCTAAAAAGATATTTTACTTATTAATGATCTTGTTTTAAAAAGTGTCTATAACCCACTCACAAAACTCACAAAAAATCAGCCTTAATTTTGCTGTGCAGATTTTACACTTAAACAATACACAAAGTCTGAAGAAATCACAATTCATGAGGATTTCATTCTGGACTCTAAAAGGCATATTTGTAATATCAATTTCATATTTCTTTACTACTTTTTAGTACTGAAATTTTAAGTGAAAAAAGGCTCAGATGCTGGTTGTTAAAAAAAACTTCACTTTTTAGTGTGGATTCTATCTTGTTCTGTTTCAAATCACTATACACAAGTAGTAAAACTTTTCATAAAAAGGTTTAATTAGAATCGTTAATAACTATGATTTCCAAAGTGTTTGAGTCAGCCTTAGTAATAATTAGGGAGTTTTGTTCCATACAAAATGCTTTATTTAACCTTCATGCCTTCATTCAGATAATTATACAAATGCATACAGTTAAAGGTTTAAACTCTATTTCGGTTCACAGCTCAATTCATAGGAAAGTTGAATACAGAAAAGCAATGCACCAACAGAATATGTCTGAGACACCATTAAAAACGATAACACTTGTTCATTTAAATCTCTGAGAATAGACTGGAATAATCATCCTCTGAGAGAATCTCATTAGGAGGGTCTCCCTTTACATTATCATAGGGCAAAAAAGAAAAAAAATCACCATTTTACAGTAAAAGGAAAAAAGCTCTGAATATATTTACAATACATACACTATACATAAATACAAGAACAACACTTACATAATATTAATAAACTTATAACAGGGGTTGCCTAAACACTACAGAGTATATAAATGCAGAGGAAACTATTAGGAAATTAGAACTTTAGATAAGCTGGAGAAATAAATTCATTTGCAATTAAAACTCTGAACAGAAAACCAAATGAAGATTTAAGAATTCAACACATTTGCTTGCCATCATCATTGGGGGACTTTACCCTTTAATGTGTAGGGTCTCCTCTGGGCACCTAGCTCTCTGGGTTCAGAGCCCCGTGAGTCTTTCGTAAGTTACATCCCTAAAGTAAATCAGACGCAGCCGTTTATTCAGTTTGCTGTTCAGAGGCTGTGAGCCTAGAATAATTGCTTTGTAAACTAAAAACCATTTTTGTATTTTTACACAGAAAGGTCTTGTGATCCAATCACCATGTGTAATGAGCTAAGTGTCAAGGAAAACAAAAGAGATGCCTGCTTGATTTGGCCAAAAAACACATTTTTCTTTATTCACGTGTATTTTTTCAAATATGACTGAGAGATTTATTCAAAAGAATATGACATTTGAATTGACCCCCACACACCGAGAGCAAAGTCTAGACTACTACTAATTACAACTAAGTCAGTTTAAGTGGCAGGTGGATATCTTAAAGGTGGTCTGTTCTCATTATTTCACGACACAGAAAGTTCTGAGTACATTCTTCTATGGACAAACATGAATTTGCTGGTTTCTCTTTTTAAAAAATGACCATGATACACATAATTGCATTATGAGGCAGGATGACATAATACATAAGACGATGTTTTCAAGCTGGCTTTGTTAAGTAGTTATCTCACATCCACAGAGTTGGTTTGTTACGTGATGCAATGTGTCCCACATAGACATGAACAAAACAATACAGCTGGCATCCCATGGGGGCAGAGGGACAGTGGTTTCTAAAAATGAATCTTTAAACACAACAAATCGTGGACAGACAAGTTGATAGGAAAGAGCCTTGTACATAGGCACCAGTGCCCCAGTTCAACAATACCCATCAAACGTAGTAAGGTTTGAGGAACAAAATATAATTCTATGGTATGGATGTAATCATAAATTCTGCCATGGGAAAACTTGAAAAGAGTGGAGCAAAAGCATTTTCTATAATGTTTTTATGTTCTATCTTTAGAGCATGAAATTAGCAGAAAGGGAAGATATTACTATGTCCTTAAAATGTTTAGTTTTTGATTACTTGGACATTTTTTACTATTAGATTTGGACTCAAATTCTATCCTTCCATATTCACCCTCATTTCTCAATAAAAATGAATCTCTGTGAAAGTCTTGGTTAGCCTGGTTTGGAAAAAGGTAATTCACCGGTCACTGGTTTGTTCTTTGCACAAAGGGCAAATTCTGTGGTCTAAAACACTTCAAATTTCTAGAGATGAAATCCAGAAAGAAGTACGGATGTGATTATTTCCGCTATTCATCTCTTTTCAACTCAAAGTGGTGCTTTTGTCATTGAGAAATTATTGCTGGTGAAACCCAATTAGCTGAGAAGAGCCCCCATCTGCAAAGAACACTTGCTTTCAGCGTGGAAGAGAATTTGTTTATATAAGTTTTATCTCTTCCCTCGGCCAAGTAACAAGGAGAAAGATCATAATTCAGAGGATTCATTTTCAGGAAAAGAAACACTATGAGAAATGACATTCTCTTAATGTTTTCAAAGTCCATTAGTACTTCCATGAATCAATACTGTCAGAGACCTTGTTCTACATGGAAGGGAAAGGATTTCATTTCTCTGATGTTAGACAGCTTCTCACATAAAACTCAATTAAACTAGCAATACTATAAACGAATTATTTATAAGATTATTTAAAGCATTTCAAGACAGTGCTGTTAAGTGAGAAATCTGAACATGAATTATCTATTGAGTATCAGCTGAATGTTTGTGATTGCCATTCCACTAACACCTAGAAAGGAGTTCTGAATTAATAACCAGCTCCATGGAGGTAGATTCTGACTGGACTACATGTGTAAAACCAACACAGGCAAAAATGCTAGTAAATTGGAAAAAATTTTGATGATTCTTAAGCTCCAGGCCAAACATTTGGGAGGAAAGTGACACGTTCAGGGAGACACTCAAGTTGTTTCTTGTTGTTATGACAATCCTTCATATGTGAATTTCTAGGCAAGGCCTGCCTGATTTCAAATATTCTACACCATTGTCAAATCATGTGTTCTTATCCTTTCCTGCTTGGAAAACAACTACTCTTTCAGAGTGCCCATAATAAAACTTAAGAGCCTGGAGAGGTGTTTCTAGGGATACACATCCTGTAGGGGACATTTGAAAGGACAAGTCTTCAGAGTTTCAGACAAGTGGTTTCATATCCCCACTCAGGTATTTCCTTCCTCTGTGCCCATGGACATCATCTTTGTACCTCAGATTCCCATCCACAACATGTAGAGTTGTTGTAAAAATCAGAAGTTATGCACCTAAAAACGTCTAGCACTGTGCCTGGCATGTCATGTTTAATAAAAAAAAAAAACAGCTATAATTTTTATTGTTGGAAGTTTTGGTCTCCCAAGGATTTTAGTGTATTCAGACCACATGCAGACAGCAGCTCAGTCAGAAGACTTCACTCCAGGGAGAGCAAGGAACACACCAGCTTCTTGTGATGCGCGACTGGCTATTTCAATCCCCTGCCCTGGTGTCCTTCCTTCTCCTTTCTTCCCCTCTACAATGTGGAGGAGAAAAGAGTGGATGGTTTTCTAGGCTTGTGGTCTGGGCCTGGAGAATGCTATCTATCGTGGTAGTCTACACCACCTAAAGCCTGAGGACTTAATGACAGTCATAATTTTAAAATTACTCTGACCAAATGTTTGGCTTGGAAAGTGTATAATTTTGCTGATAGCCTCAACAGCTTGTTTGGGTGAATTTGTGCTCTGAGATGGCATGGTTGGAGAATTTCCAGGGTTCATGTCTATTCACAGAGTCTGATTCTTGTATATTTCTACCCATGACTTCACTCCTAGCAGTAAACTAAATTTAGGAAAATCATGAACTTCTGAATGTAAATCAGGTAATTCTCCAGACTAATGGGAAAACTAGTCAGAGACTAGATTTACCAAGTATCAGTAGTACTTTGGCAGACTTTTTGGGGATGTGATTTTTATAAATATTTATCCCAAAGTGGTTCTTAGATGACAACAGGAAGTACTTGGGAAAAAAGAAGAAAGAAACTAAATATAAATTTGTGCATTGGATAAGTAAGCAGAAAATGTCCCTCAGTGTTTTGCTCTAAATAAACAGGTATTTTTAACTGAGCAAAACTTTTTGAGCCATGCATGCTATTTCACAATTTGGGGCAAATCACAATCACGTTTTTATTTGCAAATTTTAACTGCCACATGGCTGGTGCATGAAGATAACCACAATATTCACATTTGTATTCTTACATTCTGCAAGAAAAATCAAATTAGGAAATGTTACTTGCAAATAAGATTAGTTATACCTAACAGACAAATGCTTTATCCCCACTGTGGATATAGGAATGGATTTAATTTACTATGTGCATACATTTATTCTGTGTGTATGTGTTTTCAAAATGTACAGGAAAACCCGAGTTTGATGAAGAATTATTGCTCTGTAAAAGTATAGGAATATCTCATTGGTCATATTTATTGACAGGCACTTTCAGTATTTAATTCATTTCTGAAAATGGGCATTAGCTTATTCCTGTTGCCAGTATAAATTCATTTAACATGTGGCCATATCCACAGCACTTAATTTTGTCAACATGAAGCGATACCTAAAAGCGATCTCTCTGGAATTAAACAAGGATAACACCTGCACAGTTTTGTGATGAAGAACCACTTAGTTGAGGAGGAAGATGACAGGCTGCTGAAAGCTCGTAGCACAAGTAAAATCCTGTATAACTATTTCCCCTTGTTCAGGAAAAGACATTATGAGTTTGGAATTAGTTGTCTGTAGCAAGTTTTAAAATGACTTCACTGGGTTTTAAACCATCTTGGCTAAACCATGACAAGTGGTCATTCCATTTTGACAGAGCACAAAGAACATACTCTGAGACAGTGGGACAAAAGTCCATGGCAATATCACTAATTGTGTGGAAGCTATTCAAGGCATATCTGAACAAGTTTCTTATTCTTATTGTGATGAAAACTAGAAGCTCTTTTCCCCAACATACTTCATCAAACTATTTACAACTTCTGTAAAACTTGCGTGTTTGAAAATACTTTATCCATTATCACATTACGAATACAGTAAAATATCTTCACTCTATTTTTTAAAGATGCAGTATCCTTCTATTTCATCTTCTTATGAAAATCTGAGTTTCTATAGTAATTGCTCAGTATTTAGCATAGTCAAAATACCAATGGACATGAGTTGCTAAACAATATTACTCTATAATGAAACTGTGAAAATATAGCATTTTTAATTTTTATGTACATTTCTTAACTATAAAATGCAGGCAAGTCATACATAGTCTTATAAGCTGATTTCCTAGCAAGGTAAGAACTTTACATTTCTAGATAGCTTGGATTATTACAAATTCTTTTACAAAAGTTCTTTGTTGGTATTTACTAGCCCACCAGCTGCTGCATGTACATGTGTGCACATGTGTGCATATTTTGGGGCTGTGTGTCCAGGTAAGTGGAAGGCAGTGTGGGGACAAGTAGAAACGTACCATGGAAGACAGGACTCACCAACCGCTTTCTAAACTAAACCAAGTCAAACTGAAAAGGCTTTGTTAAAAGGTATGTATTACTTCAGAAAAACTAGAGGAAGACAGTTGCTCAGTGATATAACAGAACACATTTATCTAATAATTTGTAGGTATTAGTAAAGAATGAAATCTGAGAGTAGATCATGAACTATGGATATTAAGGCTTATTAATGATGTATTAAAATTATCTCACATTAGGTCCCTTCTATGCAGGCGAGAGCATGGATGCTGGTCTGTTAATACTGCTTCAGTTCTGTTAGTGCTCACTGTAAATGTTAAGACAGTCGTGTATCAACATCATGGCTACATTTCTAAGCAGTCATAACAACATAAGAAAAGCATGTGAATACATTTGAAGGCCTCACCTCACCAGATTTATTTAATTTCAGCTTTGGTAAGTAAAGTACAGATTAAGGAATACTGCATCTTTATCCATATACATGTTATCATTCTAATGAACTGACTTCAAAGTGCAGAATTCTATTTACTTTGAAACATAAATGGCAATTTGAAGTTAAAATGAATTATATAAAAGTGAACACAATCTTTGCACAAGCTTTTCCAAATTTCAAGCATATCATCCTAAAACTGGCATCTGTAAACACTGTGGCATTTTGTGAGTTTATCCCCTGACAATCTACCTTCCTATTTCTCACTTAAATTTTAAAGTGAATAAAAAGTGCTCATTCACAAAAAAAAAAAAAAAAAAAAAAAAAAAAAAAAAAAAAAATGGGGGTTATGTTACTGGTATTTAACTGTTTCTGGAAAAAAAAATCCTATGTGTTTTATAAAGGCAGTAGTATACTCTTTATGGTAAAGTCATTTAGGAATCTCAGTCTCAGTGCCTTAATAGAACTTAAGACAAGTTACCAAATGGAGTACACAGTCAGCAAAATGAGGCAGGAGATGGATGGAGAAGTATGAATCTCTCTCCAAACAATTTAAGGTCAGACTATAAGGGGTTCTGTTAAAACTGTGAGCACGAGTCTCCTAACTTTTCAAGTGCCTTAACATCCTTGAATCAGTCTCTGCAAATGCAAAGAGAGAGTCAGCTCTCCTGCAGCTTAGGTGACTCTCAGATGAGTATGTGTATCAAAGTGCCCCACTGTGCACGCATCTCTTGCTGCAAATTGAAAACTAATGAATGCTTCTAGTTAGAGAAAACCTTAAAAGTACTTTAAGATTCTATCCCTTTCCTATAGTTCATCATGCACTGTGCTTTTCCAAAGAAGCTAGAAATGGCACATGATATGGATTGGAGATTTTTCTGTGCCTAAAGATACCCTTCTACTCCAAACTACTTTCCTTTACATGGGAAAATACTTTTAGGAAACTCACCAAAGTGAATTTTCTTTGTCTCAAAACAAGCCCCAAAAAGGTTTCAATTCCAGGGGTAGCTCAGAGACTCATTCACTTACTTGTGCTTGGATTCCTTCTAGAAGAACTGCTATGTCAAAAAGGGAAATGGTGCAACGGTGATAGGTTTGATCAGTTAACTTACAATCTCAGTCTGGTTTCCACTTTGGAAGGTGAAAAAGCTCACTTACCCAACTCTTTCTGAAGTTATTAGACAAGTGCAGCTCACTTAATTCTGTGCTAACTTTAAATCAAGCTGTCAGTCGGGAAGACTCCACTGCCTGTCAGTTCAACGAATTCTAAAAGCCTTGTCTACTTGCAATACTCTCAAGACGCCTCTCAATAGAGAAAAGGGTTGGCTCTTTAGAGAGCAGGTAGGACCAACTCACATCTACAGTTTACTTGATGATTCCCCTATTATTGCCAACAAGTTTGGCAAGCCTTGGGGATTCATAGTTGTATTTGTTCCTCTCTGTATTCTTCGCCATTAACCAGGAACCAATGTTAACATGCACCAGGAAACCTTTTTCTATCCTGAATAGTTATAGGCAATGAAAAATAGGAGTTGCATACAGTACAAATAAAATGTTCCAGTTGGTCAAAACAAAACAAAACACAACAACAAAAAACACTGGTTGGTGGTAGCAGATTATGTAGCTGAGGAAGCTATCAATAGAATTGCAGCCCTTTTCGGAGGGAAATTACCTGAATTTTTCAGACCTGGCAGAAAATATAGAGCACATATTTGTGAAGCGAGAATTTAATCTGAAATTCCTTTTCATACCATCCAACACTAATCATCCTCATTGCAATGTTCATGGTTCTTGCACCATCAGAATAAGACTATCCGTATTGGAAGATGATCTTTAAAAAGGATCATTCGGTCACTGGAAATGATTTCAGAATGTTCAAACATTTTAAAAATGGGCTAGGAATACTGTGAGGTTGATCTGTGAAATTCCCCAAATCAAGTGTTTGCAATTAAAATGTATGTGCAAAGGTCTTTGGTGGAGACCTTGTACATCTAACCTATAAAAAAGCTTAACAACAACAACAAACAACAACAACAAAAATCTTACCAAGCCCCTTAGCCACAGAAAGCTGGAAAAAACCCAGCTTTTAGTGGGGACAAAAAGTATGATAATTTTTCAGAAAGAATGCTTGTCGGTGATGCATTGCTTTGTTTACTGCAAAAGGCTCAAGATTTTAGAGGGTGGATGGGATTCTACTTCCCTCTCATCCTCATCCCAGGATGAATAGATTCAATATCCCTGCAGATGCCAATGAGGATCACTGGGTCCTAGCGCAGTTTAAAAAGTGAAACGTGTACAGGAGAACCTACCGGAGAGTCACTTATCCTTGGCTCTCCGAGGGAGGAAGCTAGCACCATGGCAGCCTTCTAGGGGGAGCGTTCCCTTCTCACCACCTCGGTTCCAAGGAGAAATGACCCATTCATCAAGAGTTAATTCTCAGCTGTCTCCTTTGCCTTTCCTGAAACCAAATAACTGTTTTCAAACAAGAAAAGGGGAGCATAATCTTTAATTGTGGTCTTCAACCAAGCAGGACAACAAACAGCAGAAAGATTACCTCAGTGCTGTAAATGTAACCAAGACATCTAAAATGCTGGGGTGTTTTTTACCATCCCTTTAGTAAGTATGAAAATTGGTAACGTGAGTCCTCAGTGAAGTTATTGTAGCAAAGTCCTTTTATTCATTATTGCTTTTCTCCTCAAGAGGCGCATTATTTCCATCTCTGCTTTGTCTGATTTTTCATGTGCACTGACTTTGCCTGGGTAGCCCCACCGCTTCCCTTGGTGCCAGCGTGTCTAAGGAAGTTTTTTTCCCCTGATTCCTTGTAATCAAACACTAGGGGTAGGAAGAAATGATGCCTAGGTGACAGAACACTGCAATTTGAAGTGGGGCAGGAGTTTTTTTTAGACAGGCTCTTCCTATTCAACTACTGAACATCTTGGTGCCAGTCCATGTCAGGGCAGAGACCAGAACTAGACTTCAACTGAAATGTCGCTGCCCCTCTGCTTGAACAGATGAACAAAACGGAATTGAAACAAAACGAAAACAATCAATGACAAACAAATGAAGGATTCAATGTTGGTTTTCTTCAGGGCATGGAAGATGACAAATTGCAAGTGGTATCTAGTTGCTGCCATCACTACTGCAAAGGGCTGCTCGAGTGTGCCTTTATTTTCAGGAAATGGAACCTCTCCAACAACTTCTTCCTTTTTACGTTCAAGCTGCTTGCTGGTAACAGACTGGATGTGTGTTCTGTGTTCTAGCTTACTTAGGTAGGAACTCAAAAATTTTTTTAGAGGGGTTAAGAGTAGGGTGTGATGAGAGTTATCCAAACTTAAAAGGTCTTGCTCTAGTCATCAATTTGTGGTAGATGATCTTTAAGGTACTGATAACAAATCGTCTGACAGCTCAGAAAATGTATAGGCTACAAACATCTTTAAATGGCAGAGGACACAGCATGGAAAACAATGCCTGTCTCTTCAGCATTTGCATCGCTGAACTCCCAGGCCAGCGTGAGGACATCTCTCGAGCAGTCAGGACGGGGGTTACCTTCAGATCGAGAGGAGAAGCGTTCCTTCTTGTTCCTGCTCTGGTTTCAGACATCGTGGGATGGTGATGCCCTTTGTGTTAACACTGTGAAGGGGATTCAGCCCTGCTGAATTAGGTGCCACGAAGAGATCCAGCTCTTACCCTAGCTGGACAGGCAGCCCTCCTCACACCAGCATATGCCTCCGGCGGTGCAATGCCAAGTGGTCTGACCGGGAAAAGCTGCGATCACAGTCCGCACACTTGAATGGCTTCACTCCCGTGTGTTTGCGGTAATGCCTCGTCAGTTCATCCGAGCGGGCGAACTTCCAGGTGCAGCCTTCCCAGGTGCACTTGTAGGGCTTCTCCCCTGGAAGACACAAAGGCACACACTTTGGTGCTCCATCACCTTCTCAGGACAAGCCGGCCAGCCCTGTGCACGGGGAAGACTGCTGTTTTCAATGGGTTTTCCATTTGGTAAACCTTGGCTAGGAAATCTCACTGTCCCTACAAGAGTATTTGAGATCAGACAGCTCAGGGTTTCAAACTCATCTTTCCTGCTACAATGTCAGGCAGGGGAGTCCACACTTGCATCCTTAATTATGAGGAGTGAATTTGTACAACAGATATCAAAAGGCATAGGCCACATCAGGTGGCCAGAAAAGGCATATTAGCTCTCTAGCAAGTCTGATTTAGCCCTAAGGTTGGAAGTCAAAAGCAAGCATCAAGGATACTGATGTTTAGTTGCACCCCGAGCCCTTCCCGCCTCCATGTGTATGGCTTAGGTGGTTTAATGCTATTTTAGGACACAATGGCCATTTTTCAGTGACTGAAGATGCACACACAATTTCACTGGCCCCCTTTTACAAAGGTTTCAGCTCCTATCACATAAGCTAAACACATGTCTAGTATGCAAGAAGAAAGCAGTGAGAAGCTAGAAAGGAAGACGCTGCTGGAGAGGTTCCACTCCCTGAAAATAAAGGCACATTTAACTCCCAGAAAGCAGGCCCATATTATTCATAAACAGAGATGCTTTGCTAGAACCCTAGGTACCTCAGTAGTAAAGCGTTCAAATGGTTTTCTCAAGCCTTAAGAATCAGGGTGAGTCAGAGGTCCCACCAAGTTGGACCAAGTGCGAGAACTGCCTGTAAAAAGCAGTTGAAGAAGTCTGTAATTTGACCAGGTCCTTCAGGCAGCTTGTAAGGACTGTAAAATATGCAAAGGCTGTGCTGGGAAAAGATACTCTACCCATTGTGTGTATGGGCGGGGAGGGGTGCCACGGGGCAGGATAATAGATGGCCCAGGTGAGTGTTTTCCTGGCCCTCTTTCAGACTGGGAGCCCTGTCCCCAGGTAACCTCACAAAAACTGATCTCTCCTTCTGCACCTTCCAGTCAGCACTCCACACAATGTGCTTCTCCGCAGCACAGGATCTCTCCTGAAAAAAGAGAGACATTTGCAGACCCTTCCCCATACAGAGAACTGTAAAGTGAATATTTTTAACCCCAATTTACAGGTGAGAAAACTGAGGTTTCATGTAAACACATAGTATGTGGCTCTGAATCCAATGCTTTCACCAAGCTACAGAGCAATGGATAATTCTTACCCTGTCTAAACTTTGTTGCCTCCTCAGAGTTAGTTCTGCTTTCTTAGGCACTGTCAAATTGTTTGCTTCTTATTTCTATTAAATCATCTATCACAATATACTCTAATGATTTTGTTTTAATGCCTTTCTCACCCACCAGTTGCTGAATTCTTGGAGGCCAGGAACTATGCTTCTGTGATTTCAGTATTCCCAGGCACACAGAACAGGCCCTAAGCAGGAACTTAAGGAAGAGAACTGCAACACACCACACCCACACCCACACCCACACACACACATGCATACACAGAAATTAGGAAGCCCTATAAATGAGATGTACAGGTAATATCTACATGGAGAAGCTAGACCAAACCAGACTTAACTTTTTTCATCCAACTGTTAAATCAATGCTACCTCTATGGGTTCTGGGAGGTTGAAGCAGCCCTCCCAGAAAAGAGTAAATGAGTGTTTCAAACCTGTGTGATCTAGCAATGCTGATGTACTAACTGTGGGCCGCAGGATGGCCTGAGAAGGCTCTTTTCAAGTAAAAGCCCACTGACTGCACTGACCTAAAACCTCAACTTCTAATTCATTCTCGTTGTCCCAAAGAAACAAACTCTGCATCTGTTATGTGCCTGCTGACCAAAGTTGGACAGTAATTAAATAAAAATCGGTAAAATATCTAGCATAATTGGGAACTAACTATATAATTTACCAGGGAGAATGATCAGCATGCTTTTACATGCTGAATACCATCTCTGTATTTCTGAACTTTGTATTGCTGAGCTTGAGACACATCAACTCTTCAAAACACCTCCACCTTTGGGCCTTGTGCTTAGTGAGCTGGGGGACACCAAAATGCATCTCCTAGCTGTGTCCTGTGTTAGGGTGGATGTAGATATGTACAACACTGTATGTACAATATGTATGAAGGTAAGCAGCTTCCGCATTAGCACAGCTCAGATGCGTAAGAGGGTAACATTTCTGTTAGTGGGGAAGTGTCATATGCGATTAGAAAAGCCACTGAACCCTGGCCACTACAGACTGTCAGGGAGAGCTCGGTCACCAAATGGTCCTAAAGAGAGCAGGGCCAAGAGTGAGTAGGCAAGACTTCCAGGCCCATCTCAAGGAGACATGAAAGGCTGGCATGAGCCAAGAAGAAACTGGCATCACCTGAGCTGATGTCTGATTTCCTTGTACACTCAGTTTAGGCATATAAAGTTCTCTTAATTTACTTCTCAAAATGCAGACAGTTACACCTTATTTTGGTAATTTCATTCATAGTGGTAGTTACAGTCTTTCTATTTGAAAAATCTATAGCTGGGGTTGGTAAACTATGGGCTCCATTTTTGTATCTTAAGGGTGAAAACATATCAAGAGGAATCTGTATTTGCAAAATTACATAAAATTTAGAGTCCATATTATAAACTAGCCATGCCGATTTGCTTACACAGTTTTATTTTCCAAAGGAGGCAGATTTGAGCAGTTGTAACACAAAACATGTGGTGTCAGTGTCTGCAATTCTTAGTACCTAGCCTCTGCAGAAAGTCCACTGATACCATGAAAGGCACTCCTGCTCTGTGTAGGCTTTCCGATACCTTACTGCACTGAGTTGGAGCATACAGTGCATGTTGTTAGTTTAGGATGGAGAGGCCAGGGTGTATTTTGGTTGTGCTATCTGAATTCACAAATTACACTTCTCAATTCAAATGTTAAGAATTCTCTCAGTAACAACACAGGTATTTCTGATCTTTATGTTATTTTCAAACATAACTTTAACTGCAAATAAAGCACTTGTCATCTCCTCACAGGTGGGTGGGTAGTTGTAATGAATGCATAAAAACTGCCCAACTTATGGGGTACTACATGATATTTCAATATATATATAATATATATAATTTATATATATATATAAAACATTTAAACTAGGTGAAATGTATCTACTTCTTCAAAGTTATTCTTTATTAATGAAAACTTTCAAAACCCCTTTGACAGCATTCTGTATTTTTTTTTTTTTTTGTCTTTTTCCTTTTTATCGTTACCGGGGATCGAACTCACGACTGCCTGCTTGCAAGGCAGGCGCTTATGCTGCTGAGCCAAATCCCCAGGCCCAGCATTCTGAAATGTATAGTACACTGTGATTATCTGTAGTCTCCTACTGGGCAATGGTGACCGGCTCTTCCTGCCTCTAACTGTAGCTTAGCACACATTCATCAGCCTCGTCCCACCCTCTCTCCACCCCTCTCCCCTAAACCTCTGGTGGTAACCCTAGACTTTCTGCTTCTTTGAGATGAACTTTTTACGCTCTGCATATGGGTGCGATCCTGTGTACCTACCTGTCTTTCGGTGCCTGACCACATGCGCTATTTCATAACAAGCACTTGAAACTTAAAGTTGTGTGTGAAAGAGAGTGTTAACAGGCTCACCCAAATTCTATCAGAAGTAAAAAAACATCTTCAGGATTTTTCTGTTCACTAAAAATGTACCTACGAAGGTGAAGGTCAGAATGGTGTCAGCATCAGGTATGCTTCTTCTCCAGACTTCACTGGGAACTCAAAGCACTGATTCTGCATCAGGATAAAGCCTGGCTCCTCCAACTACCTCAATACCCTTGTGTTGAAAAGGTCACCAGGAGCAAAGATGCCTTTCCACTCTGCTGATGCAGGGCGAGGATGACCTCATGGGGAGGATCACACAAGGATTCAGATGCTGGGAACTGCTTCTCAGATCGACTGTTTAGAGGGGAAGGGCAGGGAACCCACCAGCTGGCAAGGGTTGGTCTGAGCCACAATGTGGGGCAGGGGAAACAAGTATAAAACCGAAAAGCAATCTGTGACGTTATGATTAAGCATGATAAGCAATCATAAAGACAAGGAAAGAGGCCTCAGGAACACTGTGAGCAGACATCACTCACTTCTCTGCTAAAAATCCATGAAAGGGACCCAGAAGCTTATAAACTTTTGAGGGATAAATAACAGCAAAACTGTTCTAGTAGGCAAGAGAGAAGGGAAAGAGTACATCAGAAAATAGGAAATGTAATTATCTGGGTGATAAGTAACTTCTCCTTAACATTTTCCTTCCAAAATTTTGTACTTTTTTACTATTCAAAAACTAAAAATTCCATGAATATTTATTGCCTCCCTTGCCTTATTAATAAAATTGGAATTTAAACATTCTTTCTCCATTTTAGAAAAAGGAAGAAAAAAGAAAAGATATTTAATATTTCCTCAACATTAAAGGATGAGTTATGAGCACTGGGATGGAAGAGCTGGATCCTCTGGCCAGGCAGGGGCTGGCTTCTGCCGCTCACTCGAACAAGACCTGGTATCGATTATACCTACCGGGTACACAGCATTTCATTAAAAAGATCAATAAGTCATTAAATGCTCTCTTTGGACGAGCCAAGTTTTAGAAATGGATAAAAATTTTAAATAGATACTACATTGTTTTTCATATATAATGTTTATGTTTGTGCTCTGAAATAATTGAAAGGGTATACTCTCATACATTAAGATAACGTTAACTAATGACACGATGTGAATAAAAAACTAATTAAGATGATAAACAAGCTTTTAAGATATACAGAAGTGTGTGTAAATGAGCCCTGAAAGGCATTAATGAAGAACAGTCTTTCTTCCATTTTGTCTCTTTCCCTTTAAAAACTTGCTAAATAAGAAAAGCCTACATTTAATTTTAGAAAGCCAGTGGCAGGAACAGAAGGGTAGGTGAATTTTCCATGATAATGTTCCTATGGAAAGAGCTGGCATGGATAATAAAATGAGGCAGACAC